TCTTTTAGTACTGATTGTCTCAGGATGTTGGTTTTATTTGACTACCTTGAGGGCCCTTTCTTATTCCTCTTTGTGCTTAGAGTCTAACACAGTGCCTGAGACGTGCGATACATTTAATACTTCTTTGTTTCACTTCATCTAGTGTTTCCCAAAAAGCAGATGAGTAACACTGAGGGCAGGGAAGTGAGTTTTAGGTTTCCACAATCACAGCATTCAACAATTCTGAGTCACGTGGTGAGAAAGTGATTCCCATTTCAGTGATTTTTCTAGCCTGATTAGGTCAGTGAGAAAAATCTGCCTGAGGCTGAGTCCTTCCCCCAACACTTGCCAGTTCCCCTTTTAACAGGAGAACATACCACAGGATTGAGCTTCTTAAGATTATGATGTCTGACTAGAATAGGAGAACATTTTATTTTCATTTCAATTTTCCTACAGTTATCTTCTGTTCATGACAAGTGGTACTATTTTCAACTTATGATAGTGATACAAAGTTTCCTTGAAAATAAATTTATTTATGTAGAAAAATGAGGTAAGCCCTATTTATAATAGCAAAAAAAAAAAAAAAAAAAAGTGTAACTCATCTAAATGTCCCAAAACAGGAGGATGGATAAATAAACTGTGGTATATTCAGATAGTGGAATAATATACAACAGTTCAAATGAATATAAACTTGGGTTGCCCTAACTGGTATGGCTCAGTGGATACAGCAGTGGTTCTCAACCTTCCTAATGCCGCGACCCTTTAATACAGTTCCTCATGTTGTGGTGACCCCCAACCATAAAATTATTTTTGTTGCTACTTCATAACTGCAATTTTGCTACTGTTATGAATCATAATGTAAATATCTGATATGTAGGATGTATTTTCATTGTTACAAATTGAACATAATTAAAGCATAGTGATTAATCACAAAACAATATGTTATGTAAGTATATATGTATTTTCCAATGGTCTTAGGCAACCCTTGTGTAAGGATCATTCAACCCCCAAAGGGGTCGCGACCCACAGGTTGAGAACCGCTGGGATAGAGCATTGGCCTGTGGACTGAAGGGTCCTGGGTTCAATTCCGGCCAAGGGCATGTACCTTGGTTGCGTGCACATCCCCAGTAGGGGGCATGCAGGAGGCAGCTGTTTCTAACTCTCTATCCCTCTCCCTTCCACTCTGTAAAAAAAAATCAATAAAATATATATTTTTTAAAAACTTGGGTTAATTATATTAACATGTTTAAATCTCAAAACTCTTATGAGGAGGGCAGCAACTTGTAGAAGGATAATACAGCATGGCATCACTTATCTATGTTTAAAATTTGCAAAAGAAATTGTTATTTTGTGGATGCATGCATCTGCAGTAATAGTATAAAAACATACATTGGAATCATAAGTACTGATAACTTTAGGGTAGAGATGGAGGCAAATATATAGAAGAAATGTCAACTAAAAAAATCAGAAGCAAACTGTGCCAAAATATTAAGGTTTGATAAAGCTGGGTTGTGAGTTATATTATATCTAACACCTTTTTGTGTGTTTGTACAAAACTTCATAATATAAAATACTTTAAAATAAATAAAATGCAAAATCCTGTTATTTTAACAGTCTATGAATTTAAAGAAAAATAATAGAGCAAGAGATACAAGGGGGAAATATTATGAAGGCATTATGCCTTGAGGCTAGTTCAAGAAACTCTGAATGTTGAGAGGCAATGGCTTCAAAAATCCCTGTTGCCCTAACCGGTTTGGCTCAGTGGATAGAGCATCAGCCTGCTGACTGAATGGTCCCAGGTTCGATTCCGGTCAAGGGCATGTACCTTGGTTGTGGGCACATCCCCAGTGGGGAGTGTGCAGGAAGTAGCTGATCGATGTCTCTCTCTCATCGATGTTTCTAACTCTCTATCCCTCTTCCCTTCTCTCTGTAAAAAATCAATAATATATATATTTTTTAATTTTTAATTTTAATATATATTTAAATATATTTTATTGATTTTTTACAGAGAGAAGGGGAGAGGGATAGAGAGTTAGAAACATCGATGAAAGAGAGACATCGATCAGCTGGCTCCTGCACACTCCCCATTGGGGATGTGCCCGCAACCAAGGTACATGCCCTTGGCCGGAATCGAACCTGGGACCCTTGAGTCCGCAGGCCGACGCTCTATCCACTGAGCCAAACCGGTTAGGGCAATAAAATATATTTTTTTAAAAATCCCCTGTAAACTGTAAATTTCATTAGTGCAGGAATTGTGTCTGCCCTGCTTTGTTGTGGCAATAAATCCTCACTACATAGCAAGTTCCATGAAGACAAAGGCTGTATTGGCCATTGCTGTATCCCCACCATCCAGCACAGTGCCTGGCATATAGGAGGCCTTCCAAATATTTGTTGAATGAATGAATGAATGAATGAATGAATGATGGATCCCCAGCAGTGGTGATGTTATTCCCATCTTCACCAGCAGGTGGCACTTGATCCTTGGCCCTAAGGTGCCCACAAGAAATTTTGCCAGAGAGGTCAGCCTGGCCAAGAGCCATTAACCAGAATAGACCTGGGTAGAGAAAGCCCATTAACAAGACTGCCACTCAACAAACCCCACCCCCCAGCTGACTTGGAGTGGCTGGCTGGAGTGCCAGAGGAACTCACCCTTTATCAAAGCTGCAGAAAATAATCTGGGGAAAGAGCCAAACCCAGCATGTGATATCCTGTATACATCTGCATACAGCAGGTGCCTGTGGGCGGCACCCAGCCCATGTTCTTATACACCTGTGCACATCTGTGCACGGCCTTATTGCGGTGACAATCTGCTTTGCTCATTACCACCTCATTTCATGACTTCTAATCGTCTTACCCTCCCACCCCTACCCTCTGCTACCCCACTTTCCTCCTAACCCTCACCCAAATGCCTATAGTATAAGCTCCTCCATGATCTGGCCTAACCTATGCTCCCAGCCTCACCCCATGGCTCCATGGCAGTTCTGCCTCTAGGCCAATGCCAACAGTGAGGAGCCCTTGTCCTTGGGCAGTGCTACACCTCTAGGCCCCACTCCTGCCACCTCCCCCACACGCTGCCCATTGAGCACCAGACTCCAGCTCACAGGGCCTCCTTGACCTCTGAGCTCTGCAGCCACAACTGTTCCATTCCTTTACACTTAACATGAAGCTTCTGATACTAGAAAGCGCACTCACTGGTACATAGCTGTTCCTTTCTCCAACTGATGATAAGTAATTGAGTTGCTCTCCCAGCAGGAACAATGCCTTTTTCTCTGGAACCCATCCCCTATTCCATGCTCCCCACACTTGCTTTTAGGAAGCATGTATTCACTTGCGCAGATCAGGAAAGGAAAAAAAAACAAAACAACTGAAACACGTTAGGTGCTTCATTAACCATCGTTGACTGATTCTGTGTAAGTGACTTGGCAGTCATGGGTCTACTGTCCGCCTGCTTTAAGCTTGGCCTTCCATGGGCAGCAGGAGTTCATTCACTCATTCAACAGGTACTTAATGAGCACCACATATACCCAGCTCTCTTCTAGGCGATGGCAACATGGCGATGAACAAAACAAAGCCTGTTTTCATAGAACTGACATTGGCATGAAACACAAACAGATACATAATATGTCACCTGGGAATACGTGCTATGAAGAAACATAAAGCAGGGTGAGGGGAGAGAGAGGGGGGCAGGAGTAGAGCGGAGATCTGAAAGAAGTCCTGCTGAAATGTGGGAGAGGAGTGTGCAGCCAAGGAAAACAGCCAGTGCAAAGGCCCTCAGAAAGTCCTGGGCATAGAACTGGGGGTGCAAGCCCTTCCTGCTGTGCACCACGACTAAACCAACTGGTCCATCGGACCCAGGCCAAAAGGGCTGCCAGGTTTCTTCCCCACCAGCCCTGCATTGCCCAAGGCTTTCTGCCCTCCGTTCTGGGGACACCTGACATACCCAGGCGAGGCCGAGCGCCTGGCAGCCAGGATGACCCCTGACTAAGGAGCCGCCCCTCGGTGTGAGGGCGCCCCCCGGCGGGCAGCGGGTGGTGCCTGGGGAGAGGGGAAAGTGTAAATCTCTGGGTTGGGAAGAACCTTAGCCCTGCAAAGTGACTGAGTCGCGCTGACACTTAGCCGCACAGGCAGACACACAGACCCGTTCCCCCAGGTAACCGCTGTGCCGCAGCCACACCCGGGCGGGTTTCCTACCCAAAGTGTCCCCGAGCCAACGCCCATTCCCGAGTCCGACCGTCCGTGTACCCAGGCCCACCTGCGCCCAACCCTAACATTTGTCCCGGTGCGCAGGTTCCGCTGCCAGCCCCCTGCGCAGAGATGCCTCTGTCCTCACACTCTGGACACCCCCCCGCCCCGCTCCCCCCCATATCCTCCACCCACCTGCGCTCTGTGCCCGCGCAACCTCCCTGGATCTGAAGCCCCCGGAACGCCCACCCTGCTTCTCCTGCCCAGTTCCTTCTCGGACCCCAGCAGCACAGGTTAGCTGAGGGCGGGCCAATGGAGAGGCGCGTTAGGAAAGGATTTAACGTCGGGTCTCGGAGAGCTGGTTCGAAAGAGTGAGGATGGTGTTCCTCTTTCCCCTCCGCTTTTGGAAAGTGGGCCAGACCTCCAGGCCCCGGCTCGGGCCGGTTCCCTGCAGCATGAGGTCAGAGGGACGGAGAGCAGAGCCCGGCGCCCTCTCCTCTTGCCGGCACATCCCTCCAGGAGCGAGCGCACAGCCCCAGCCCGCGTCCCCCAGCCCCCGCGCTTTCTTCCCTAGTGCTCACCCCGTGGGCCGCCCTCGTGGCGGAGTTGGGGGCGCAGCCCGGGGCCGCTGCAGGGTCCCGAAGCGCGGGAGAGCCGAGGCCGCCCTCGCCCGGGGGGCGGGCTGCTGCTGGCCCCAGCGACTGCTCCTCCAGGTCTGCGCAGGTGGCCGGACTCGCGGCGGCGGCTGCGCTCGGGGCGGCCTCCTGGCCTCCGGCTCGGCGGGCCTCCTGGGGCTCCCCCAGCCGGGTTGGGCCGGCTCCGCGGGCGGTGAGCCCGGGCCGGGCGCGTCCTGCTCCCGGAACAGACTGTACACCTTGGCTGCGGCCGCTGCGTGGTGGCTGCCCCCCGGGCGCCAGAGCCGACTCGCGTCCCTGCCCACCGGCTCGACTCGTCCCACCGGGTCCCTCTGAGCACGACCCATGCCCACGAAGAGAGCCAGGGTGAGCGGCAGGAAGCCTCTCCAGGGGTTCCACCGGGTGCGCCCGGGGCAGGGGGCTGGCGCCGGCGGCCTCATGGCGCCGGGGGCCACCGGAGAGCGGGGCGCGCGGGGCGAGTCCGGGGCTGGCAGTCGGTTACCCGGGCCGCCGACGGGCTGTGCTCGGGTCCCCTTCGGAGGCCCGCTTCTCTTCGTCTGGGGGGCCCCGAGGGCTGGGCGGGGGAGCGGCCCGGGGCTGCGCGCCCTGCGCCCGGCGTCCGCGCTGGGTCCCCAGCTAGAAGCGCGCGGCTGCTGCACCTTCGCGCCTTCTCCCTATGGCTGTGGCCTTCCGAAGGGGAACTGGAAGGTTTTTATTTTTGGAAACCTCTCCCTGATTTTTCGTCTCTTTTATCCACACCATGCCCCCTCCTCGGAGGGACAGCTCAGCCCCCTCATTACGGGAGAGGGAGAGAGGAATTCCAGCAACACCCACTTTGGCACCGCGAAGCGAGCGGGCGGCGAGGGGGGTTAACCCATGAGTAGCTGCGGGTGGCTCAGGGCTGACCCGAGGGCTGGTACGGGAGATGCCGCCTGCAGTAACAGCGGCACCGGAGCCACCTCTCTCCTGTCCTGGGCAAGCTGGAGCTGCTGACCTGTCCCGAATTTATCTCCCGCCACTGCCCTCAGAGGCAAACTCTGGGTTGGATGACCAAGGCTGCAGCCTCGAAGGCCTGAAGGAGAACGGGAGAGGTATCAAGAACGGCGAGACAGAATCAGGACCGTAGGGACCGACGTCCGGTCCCTTCGCTTCTCGCCCGGGCCACTGGGGGCGTCCGCCGGGGTGCAGGCTAGAGCTGGGACCACGCGGGAGAGCGCTGGAAGGTCGCCTGGGGAGGCGCGCGCCCTCTAGTGGAGTTGGCCGCATCCTTGGTCAACCTGCAGCTTATAGAGTGACCTGCCGCTGCCAGCCACCTTCGCTCCCTGTTCTGTCCCCTTTCTGTTGAGTCAAGGTCAAGCCCGATGGCAGATCCTAGAAGAAGTGTTCCCTTTTTCACAGAGGATAGACCTGCAAGATCTGGAATAAGCTCATTCAAGAAGACAGCGTGTGTCCAAGAGGGGAATGAAACCCTGGCTTCCTGCCTGGGCTCAGAAGTCCATCCCTCCCTCAGGAATTTCACCCAAGGGGGATTTAATCTGCCTCTGATTGATCTGGTGCTCACATCTTCTTGCGTTGGCAGTGAGGGGACAGGGGTGCAAGAATGCCAATTGCCACCCATCTGAGTACCTCCAACAATCAGCTCATCACTCACACCCCTGGCCCGCTGTCTTAAAGCCTAAAGGCCTGGCAGCCATGACTGCCCTTGGTGCGTTTCTGTAGCCTACTATTGCCTAGAGAGACAGAGCAGTCAGGAGGGCACCAGTTTGCAGCTTCCCACACTACACAAGGGATAGGCACAGTTACTACCTAATGCTGGAATACGCCCTCAACTCCTGACCTTGGCCTACAAAGCCCTGCGTGACTGGCCCCCTATCTGATCTCTCTCACCTCTTGCATTGCAGCTGCATTGGCCTTCTCTCTGCTCCTTGAACAAGACAAGTTAATGCCCACTTCCCTGTTTCTGGAACACTCCTCTCCACAATGTTTACAGGAACTCCGCATCACTTCTCTCAGCTCAAACATCACCTCCTAGAGTGGCCATCCCTGGACCACCTCCCCCCCCCCCCCCCCCCCCCCCCCGCCCAACCTAGAGCAGCCCTCCCATTCCCAAGTCATCACTTTCTAACACATCACCATTTCACTTTCATGGCTCTAGGGACTAGTTGAAATGATCTCATTTATTCCTTTACTTGGATAACTGGCTTATAGGATGGGCTGAACCTGAAGACATCAGGACTTAAGGATAATCAGGAAACAGCTATAGTATTTTTCTCCCCTCATTGCCTTCAGCCATGTTATGGTGAATTTCCTTTCCCCACCCTTAATCTCAGAGTTTTTGGCTTGACCTTCCCTATCAGCCACAAGAATAGTTTCATGTCTATAATTAAGACCAATTTTCCAGGCACTAAAAACTCTGGTCCTGTCCAAATAAAAAAAAAATCCTTATCCAATTTAATCAATCGAGAATCCAATTCAATACTCCTCCCTGCCCCCCCTGGGACTGTCCCCTGGCTCAAGATCCGACAGTGGAGAGAGTGGAGTGTGGTCTGTTTTTCTGACCATCCTTTTTGGTGGTGGCTCCTCCGTGTCAGGGTCAGGGGAGAGGTATTAGAGGAAACATGGCAAAGTCTTATGTGACAGGAGCCCTTAGCTGGCAGGTGCCACATGCTGGCTCTTTCATAGGCACATTTGTGGATTCTTGGGAGGCTCCCTGCAAGACCTCCACCCTGCACGGCTGTAACAAAACACTCTCCGGCCAACCTCTTGCAGGTCCCTGTATCCTCTGCCCTCACGGACTTTCTGTTCCATGCCAATAAACCAATGGTGAGTGGGCTGCTCCTCCCTCTGCCATAGAAGCCACTCCAGACAGGCTCCACAGTCAGAACTCTCCAGACAGACAGTATCCACAAGTCTCTTCATTTGTGTTCATCCCCAAACTCTAAAGACATATGTTGGGTTCTCCCAACAACTTTCTTGTTGTGCTTTGGTACCTCGGGGTGCTTGCAGCTCCCAGCAACTCAGCCAGCATCAGTGGAGGGAGAGTCATGGGGAGTCGTGCTGGTTTCTTCTTCTTGAAGGCCCCCAAATTCTGCAGCTGGTTCTCTTGGAGCCCCCTTTACTTGGTTGGCATTGGGGAGTACCCTCAGGGGAAATCTCAGCCCTGCCTACTAATGCAACAGTTCTCTATCTCAACGCTTTAGAAAAAATAGATTTTTATTGATTTCAGAGAGGAAGTGAGAGGGAGAGATAGAAACATCCATGATGAGAGAGACTCATTGATTAGCTGCCTCCTGCTCGCCCCACACTGGGGGATCAAGCCCTCAACTCTGGCATGTGTAGGAATCGAACCATGACCTCCTGGTTCATACATCGACTCTCAACCACTGAGCCAAGCCAGCCAGGCTCTATGTCAACACTTTTTTCAATCCCTTTCATTCATAGACTGAGGGATATGGCTTGATAGTTGTTGAACTTGTTCTGCTGTTACTAAAATGTGTAGGACTTCTCTTTGGAATGTGAGGATATTTAGTCCTTATTGTTCTACCCTTGTGGCTTCAGCAAAAATTCAAGACCACAGGAAAAATCCTGTTCAACAACTGAAAAAAGTCATTATTGCCTGACTTTCCAAGCCACAATGGTAGCTCTAAAGGAGTTGATATCTTGTCTCCTCAACTCAGCACTGTTTCCCCAGAACCTAGAATAGTGCTTGACTCTAATAAACAGCCAAGAAATATGGTTTCAATGGATGGCTAACTGAATGAATGACAGAATAATCCCATGAAGTAAGGAGGGCTGGTATCATTAGACCCATTTTAAGAGAGAAAAACTGAGTTCCTGGTTGTATTACTGGTCCAAGTTCATGTGCTTACTGCCTTGAGGGATGGCCCTAGGATCTCCTTAAATTCCGGGTCTTGTGTTTTGGGATGAATGCCATCTTGATTCCCAGAATGCTCAGTTCTTTCCCAGAGACATTGCTCCTTCCCTGTTATCCACCCAACTCTTTAGTTCCCGACTCCTTCCCTTCCCCCACTACCTGCCAGTTCCTTCAGGAGCTCTCCTCTTCATCCCTCCGTGCTCACCTCAGATCCCCATGAGCCTCCCAAGGCCAGAAACCTTGGCGTCATCTTCGTCCCTGAGTTATTTTTTCCTCCCGTGTGTCCAAGTCATTATTACTGCTCCGTCTCCTCCGTCTGCACTTCTGGAAGTCTGCCGCCCATTCAGCCTCTCACCGCTTGGCCCCAGCCAAAACCCTCAGGCAGACACACTTCCCACTCCGCTAGGGCGCCCCTCCTACTCCTTGGTGAGTACAAATGGTCCTTGGAAATTCCCCCCTGTTCTCCTAGGAGCCCACAACCTGGTAATCTCCCCTGAAGACTGGCATCTCCTGTTCCTCCCATCCCAGTGCCACCCTTCGGTCCTGTCTCCCACTTACTGCCCATCACTCCTTTCCCTGCAACTATTGGGATCTGTTGATACAACTCTTCAAAATCTCCAATCCCATAAATGCTTGAGGTTTTTCTTTCTTTTTTTAAGCTGCCAAAATTTATAGAGTCTACTAGGGTTCAAGCACTGCATTAAGCATGCTACATAAATTGACCCCTTTAACCAGATAAAGGGGGCATCATGATTTCTGCCTATACAAAGGAGGAAACTGAGGCTGGAAATAGCTACTGCTTTACACAGCTGATAAGTAGCAGATGCAGGATTCATCGGAGCCCAAGCTTTTAAGACTGTACCATCTTGCCTCCCCCTGAGGCTTGTGACTCTGTAACCCTCCTCACATTGAAGTGGTATCTTTTCCCAGCCGCTGTTACCACCTAAGTACCTCGACTGCACATCCCTCCAATACCCTCTTCCCTGCCTGCTAGCCCACAACTCAAGTCCCTGAGGACGTGGAGTTATAAGAACTTTCTGTCCCCCTCTACCCTCCCTGCCCAGTAGGAGAAGAGAGGCTAAATGTTAACAGCATGGCCCCTGACTCACCATGTGTCCCCTCCTTACCCTTGGTCCCAGCTTCCCCCCAGTGAGGCACCGAATGCTGCTAACCCTACTCACCCATCTCTTGGGTCTGGGGAGGGAAATCACCTCTGGAAAGCCCTGCAGAGAGAGTCCCAGGGGCTTGATAAGAGGATTCCAGTGGGGAAAGGATTGCCAGGACATGTAACCACGAGTGGGGATGCTGGACACCCAGGGCACCCTAATTGCTTTCCCATGTCTTGCTGGAATAATGCTGGCAGCCAGAAAGCTACCAGAACCTGAACTAATTTGATAAACAAGGACCAAAAGCAAGGACCACATTTCTGCTCCCTTTGCTGAGACCCAGACTCCCAACAGAATTCCAGGGATTTTTTCCTCCTTGGAAGTGACTGGACCTCCAGCCCTGAATTCCTCTCCCCAGGAGAGCTTGTTCCCCTGCTCGGAACAAATAACACATTTCCTGGTTAATCAGTGGGCAGAACAGCCGAAAAGGAAGGTTGATTGGGCCCCAGCTTTCCAGATGGGAGCAGCTCAGGGGCTGGGATGCCCTCGACCAGATACTGGGCAGCTGGGACCCCCACAATGCGCAGCCTCACCTCCAGTTTGGAAGACACAGGCTGTGTGAAGAGGCCCCAGCTCCCTCCTGCACGAGGTTTTCAAGGCCCACGGAGGCTGCCAAGATCACTCCACCTCAGACACCGTGGCCTGGCATCGCCCCCACAACTCACAGCCACCCTGCCCTGGACCGCCGGGGCTGTCTCCTCCCATGAGCATGGATGTTTCTGTCTTCTGCAAACTGAGCTCAGTTCTCAGCTACACTTGGCTTCTATTTTCTTATCTGACGATAGAGATAATGTTGCTCTTCTTGCCACACCACCTTCAGGGCGAAGAAGATAACCAGCCCCATCTACCCTGTGACGGGAGGGGATCAATCACTGCTACTCCATTTGCCAGTGGGTATTTCTCGAGCGCTTAAAACGTACCAGGCACTGCGCTTCGTGTTTTGCAGACATTTTCTCATTTAGTCCTCACAATAGTCTTGTGAAGGAGGTAGCCGGTGAGGAAATGAAGGCTCAGAGAGGTAAAAATGACTGCTCCCAATTGCAAAGCTAGTAAGTGGCTACACTCGGATTCCCCCCTGGTTTGTCTGGCTCCAGACACGAAGCCGATGCCAGCGTCTCGAGGAGCCTTTCTGTGGAAATGCGGCTCCGGCTGCCATTCTCTGAAATAGACGCATCCCAGCTGTTCGTGGTGTGGCCAGGGGTGCTGGGGGCCACATAGAACTGCTGTCATGAGTTGGCCCACCAAGCACATCTCACCGCCCCCCACCCCCACCCCCCGCACCTATTTACAGCTAGGGGTCTACTTTGGGTCAAGGGCAGACAAAGGTCATCATGGTGAGTTTTCGTGAATCTGACTCGCACTCACCAAGGAGAAGGAAAGAAGTCCAGTTTGCCCCACATCAAATCGTTTTCGGTTGCTGAGAAAGGCTCATCTTAACCCTCAGCCTTTCTCTTTGGACGAGAGAAGTGGCGTGAACAAACATCTCTGTGGCCCTGGGTGGTGGGCGTTGTAATCCCATTTCACAAACGCAGAAGGGTGAAGGCTCTTGCTCAAGGTCGTCCAGCTAGGAGTCGAGCCAGTGTTCAACGAAAAAGGCCGACCGGCTGCAAGGTCCGTGCTGTTTTCACTGCAGCGAACTGTACTCGCTCCAGGATGTCCTGCGGTGATGTGAAGTGGGCAGCCCTTCAAGTAGCTGATTTCACTTGTTTCCCTTCATTTCCAGTCCCTGATACAAGGGTGGGCTGATCTGAAAGTTCTGTGCATTTAGCTCAAAGCTCAGACAACATTTCCTACTTACCTGCATGAATTCCTTCAGCCTTTGGCTGAAATGGAATCTTCTAGAACTCCTGGGGCTGCAGCATAACTTCTCCCCAAGTAGAGACCTGAAGGCCTAAGCAGGAAGACAATGTGAGCGAGCAGTCCAGAGACCTCCTTCTCTTAATTCCCCCCAGTAAGACCAGAGCTGCTCGACTGGGCTGGGGGCCGCATGGATGGGATGGGGTCACACATTGTATTATCCTTTCAGAATCTCCAGGGAGAAAGCCTTACGGGTCCAAGGGCTGGGCAGATCTACCCCGAATTCTGGAATGGCAGGCAGGAATTTCAGGACAAGGTGAGCAGGAAGCAACTTTTCTTGGCTGTCATTGGGGTCTCCCAGCCTGTCCCCACCTTGGTTTCCAGCCGGGACACAGTGACAGCCCAATAAATAGAGGTTGTGGGGACAGCAACAGGGGCTGCTATAGGGTTGTTCCTAAATTAAGCTCTTCCAGAGAGGCCTGTCAGCAACTTCCTGCTCTTCATTATCAAGGCAAAGAAAGAGGATGACACCTTCTGCCTCCATCCCCTGACCTCCATTTTCCCTGGGATGAAACAGTGAGATGAGGACACTCAATGAGGTTTGCCCTGCTGCCTCTAGGACCTCAGACCCTTAGGAATAGGCCCAGGCCCTAAAACTCCCCACAACAGGACACAGACACCAGGCTGGTGGGGGCGGGGGTAGGTGCAGCCCGGTCCCAGCCGGTCTGCCATGACTCATTCCTTGTTTCCGTCCACTCTGGTCTGAGCGCCTTGGCCCAGGGGCCTCTGGGAGGCTGTAACACAGGCTGGCCCCTCGCCCATCGGGGCTCAGCAGACAAAAATTAAAGATCTCACTTCTCAGGAACTCACACAGACAGCAGAGGCATGCTCTGTGCTCTGCCTCACCAGACCAGACCTCAGGCCGGAGGAGGATGGAGGCCAAGGGAGGAAGGAAAGGCGTCTCCGCTCCTCCCCCTACTCTGTTCCGCCCACATCCAGTCATGAAGCCCTGCCCCCTACCCACTCCTCCTCAGGTCCGTGCCTGAAGATGGTACTGCTCCCAGCACCTCCTCTGCACCACTTCACTCCTCCCGCCTCTACCTGAAGACAGCCATGACGGAAATAGACTTGAAAGCAACCATCATGCATTTTCTGGCAGCATTTAGGACAGATCATGGCAGGGACCACAGACCCTAGTTGTAGGCCACATGTGTCCCAGGGTCTCCCTCCCTGGTCATGTCCCTTCCCCTCCCAGGACCTCAGTTTCCTCATCCATAGGGAGGATTTTACTAGATGAACTCACATTTGCTGTCAACACTAAGATTCTGATTTGAGGAGCAGACAAGGCAAGGGATGGGTATGGATCCAAAAACTGCAGGAGGGACCTCCCTGAGAGATCAGCCAGCCCATTCTTCAATTTATGGTGAAGGAAACTGAGGCCCAAAGGGCTTGTCCCAGGTCACATGATTGGTTATTGGCAGCAGCAGCACTTGAACCAGAGTCTCCTGACTCCCAGGCCTCTCAACTCTTTCTCTTTCAACTCCCCCAGGAAGCTGGGAGCTATCTGACCCTCTTGGCCAGGGAAGCCACGAGTGACTGTGCGTGTCAGCAGCAGGGCCTCAGAGCCTGGGAACGTCTCTGATGGGGTAGGTGCAAGTGCCAAAGCCGCTGGTGGAGAGGGATGGGGTTGGGGGCCAGGGAGGGTGTATCAGAGATAAGCTGTCAGCATCTCCCTTCTTCCAGTTGGCAAGAAGAAATAGAGAAATGCCCATGATGATTGAGGGGAAACAGTCCCCATTTCTGATTAAGCCATTGGTCCATGAAGTATTGATATCTGTTTCTCTCTCTCTCTCTCTCTCTCTCTCTCTCTCTCTCTCTCTCAGATACACGCACAGTCTCTCTCTCTCTCTCTCTCTCTCTCTCTCTCTCTCTCTCTCTCACACACACACACACACACACACACACACACACACACACACACTGTTCATGCCTGTCTAACCTATGAAACTTGCCACCTACAGCCTTGGTCTCGAGATGTATATTGATATTCTCAGGTGCACTATTTGGTGGGGCCTGGAATTGCTGAGATGCTTCTAAGCCCCTGCCTACCTCCTAATGTTCAGCCTGCTTGGCTGGGAACATGATGCCCTTCATTCCACAAACATTTTATTTTTTGAGCCCTAATATGTGCCAGGCACTGAGGATGGGTGGGATATCCTCACTGCCTGTATGACGATAAGTGCTTCAGTGGAAGGACTAACACAGCCTTTTGGGCTCACTGAAGAACTGCCAACCATGGAGGGTGGGGATTGGCTAGGGAGCATTTCTCAGAGTGTCCTGACTGTCAGTTAAACATTGAAGGCTAAGGGAGCGTTCACTCTGTGTGTGTATGGGGCGGGGGGAGACGGGATGGACATGCCAAGGAGAGGCACTGCATATGCAAAGGCATCGGTGTAAGACAAAGTTGGGTCTATTGGAGGAACAACAAGCAGCTTGGAGAGTTGGAGTTTACATAGGAACAGCGGTTAGGTGAGGGGATAAGGCTGGAAGTGAAGGTTGTGGTCAATTTATGGGGGCCTTAGCTCTAGTCAGTTTATCTTCTCAGAAAGATGGACCTGTTCCCTGCATCCACACCACCATTTGGCCTTGGAGGGGACCGATTATTTATCCAGAATTCTAAAACTCATGTCCTCCGGTCAATAGCAAGGAGGTATTGGGGTTGGGGGCGGGGGAGGGCGGGTTGAGTGCCATCAACCTATCCAAAGCCACGCGATACACTAATCGACATAAAGCCAGTGAGCTTGCCTTGCTTAAAAGCAATCCCCAAGCCCTGCTTCCAACCAGTCTGTTCCTCCGCACATGGCTCCCTTTTTATAGAACTTACTAGAGGCCCGATGCACGAAATTCATGCACGGGGCTCGGCCCTCACAGCCCCGCTTGCCTCGGCTGGCCCTTGCAGCCCTGGCTTCGTCCGGAAGGTCGTCCAGATGGTTGTTCTGCTGTTCAGTCTAATTAGCATATTAGCTCTTTATTATATAGGATGGAGCTGCCGATGTGGCAGATCTGGCCAAGTCTCTGCTGCCATGACCCACCAACCTGACTGTCCCTTCTTTCCCAACCCTTCCCAGGTATCTCCACTGTCTGAATTCCCCACGTGCTCTGGGCCAGGTTCCCCTGGAGACTCAACCCCCGAGTCAAGCTTCTATCTCCAGTTTCCCTCAAACTTGGCCTCAGGTTCCTCTCCAATCCCACAAGCACATGTTGAAGTGTCATAATATGTATATCCAAGTCCACCCACTCTGCTGCCTCCCTCAGAGCTTGGCCCATAGATAGATAAGCCATATGTATTTGACATCAAACAGATAGCCATCATTTATTGAGCACCTCTTTGTCAGGCCATCAGTGTTGCCAAGAAGAATAAGGATTAGTCGCTATCCTCAAGGAACTTCCAGTGTCGTAGGAAAGGCAGCAACACCTATCATAGTAAGTGCTGTGATCGAGATAAGCCCACGGTACAAGGTGAATGCAAGGATAGGCACTCCAGGATGGGAATATGAGACACCTGATCAAGGAAGATCCTAGAGAAGAGGCTATCTGAGTGGGGGTCCGGAAGGCAGGGCCAGTCTCAGCCTGGAGAAGGCGGAAAAGATGGTGAGGAGGAGGTACAGCAATGATTACTAGAGCCAAGTTTGCAAAAATTAAACCCCACCAGGGTCTACCCCATTTCCCTTTTCACTGGGGTCCGATCAGAGAAATTTTACCAGATATTTGAATGATAGTCAGATGAAATTAAAATGATATTCAACATGGCCCAGCAAGCATGGCTCAGTGGTTGAGCATCAACCTATGAACCAGGAAACTGCAGTTCAATTCCAAATCAGGGCATATGCCCAGGTTGTGGGCTCGATCCCCAGTAGGGTGCATGCAGGAGGCAGCTAATCTATGTCTCCCATCATTGATGTTTCCATCTCTCTCTCCCTCTCCCTTCCTCTCTAAAATCAATAAAAACAGATTTTTTTAAAAAGTGATATTTGAAGTGGATTGGCTGGGAAAATGCAGAATGCATAGTAATATAGTTAGATATATGTATAGATGTTTAAACAACAATTCCCCACATTGAAGACTTGGATGGAGCTCATTGAGATCTCCATCATGAGACAGGGCTGGGATCTGTACAAGACTTCTCACAACTTGGACGAAGTCAGAACATTTTTATCAAATTTTCACATGACATGGAACTGGAGAAATAAATGATAAATGTGGATGATAGGAGCAAGATATCAAGTGATCTATATACGTTGAGATTTAATTAAAAAAAAATAAGTGGAAAAAGTCTTGCATGTTGGTCCAAAAAAAGCAATAATTAATGACTGAGGGATACTTGCTTTGATAGTAGTTCATGTGAAATGACCTTATGTGGATGGTGAGGGGGGAGGTGAAGTGAGTTGAAAAAGGAGATCCTAGTTAACCACTGGTTTGAAATAAACTAACAATGTAAACTTCTAAAAGGTCTAGTGCCATCTTGGATAACATCCAGGGCTCAGAACTTGGAGGATAACAGTGTACTTCAAGTTGTTGAGATGCAATGGCAGTTTCGTACTTGATTCTGCCACCATGTTGTAAATGGCTTATTAGAATCTTTAAGCATGTTTATGAGAAGGTGACCTGATGGAGATGAATACAGCCCAGGAGGAGCAATTGAGATACTGGAGAAGAGAAATCTTGGGTGAGGAGAGTCTGGCAATCTTCAATTATTTGCAGGATTATCAGGTAAGAGAGGGGCTCGGTGTTCTGTGTTTTCATTAGTCACAACAGATTAACTGTAGTAACAACACCCACACAGTAAATTTATTTTGCTCACACCAAGCAGAGCTCGGATCCACATGGTCATGCAGTGCCCAGGATCCGTTAGTCATGGAGATCCAACGTAGAGATTCTTCTGCCGTCTCATTCAGCCAGTAGATAGAGAAGGGTAAATGTGGAGGAATGCACATGCTTCTTCAAGGCAATGTCTGAATAAGAAAGAGGCAAACAACACTCTGTCCACATTCCGTTGACCAGAACTTAGTCACATGGCTATACCTTACAACAGGGAGCTGGAAATGTAATCTGTTTGCCCAAGAGAAAAAGGCTGTGGGTGGGGGCTTTAGCACTCTAGACTTGGAAGAGACTGTCTTAGGAGTGAGAAGAGTTCAGGGCTTAATATATCCACCCAACAACTTGCACACAAATAATGTAAGCTTAGTAGCATTATTCATAAAAACCAAAGATTAGTTATTGGCTAAATGCCCATTGACTGGTGAATGGATCAATAAAGTCTGATATATCCATACAATGAAATACAATTAAGCAATAAAAAGGAGTGAACTACCAATACATGCTACCACATGAATGAACCTCAACATTATACACACTGAAAGAAGCCAATCACAACATCACACATTCATTTATATGAAATATAAAAAGGGCAAAGCTACAGAGATAGCAAATAGATTCAAGGGACAGGGGTAGGAGTGGGGTGGTTAACAGTAAATGGGCACAGGAGATCTTATTGGAATGATAAAAATGTTCTAAAACTAATTTATGGTAATGATTTGGTAAATTTATTTAAAAATAAATGAATTGTGCCTGGCCGGTATGGTTCAGTGGTTGAGTGTCAACCCATGAACCAGGAGATCATGGTTTGATTCCTGGTCAGGGCACATGCTCAGGTTGCTGGTTCAATCCCCAATAAGGGGTGTGCAGGAGAAAAACCCATTGATAGTTCTCTCTCATCATTGATGTTTCTATCTCTCCTTCTCCCTTCCTCTCTCTGAAATCAATGAAATCAGATTAAAAAATAAATTAATTACACATTTGAAAATGGCAAATTGTATGATATACAAAATATGATTCAATAATATTTTTTGTTAGGTGTTAGGCATTTAGTACTTTGAGGTTGGGGAAAGGAGAATAATCCTGCAAAGGGAATGAGAAAGGAATATCCAAGTGGAAGGAGGAAGTGGCACAGAATCCAAGGAAAAGTTAGATTTAAGGAAAGAAAGTAGAGTCAACTCTAGTCAAAGTTACTGAGCTGTCACATGAGATGGCAAGCTGATGGTATTGTCTCTGCCACAGTAGGGTTCACAGTTTTGTTCCAGAGCCTGGGTCAGGAACAAGAAAAACAGAGGAACATAGATTTCCACTTACAGTAAGTGCAACATTGGGGTTGTCCAACAGCAGGACAGATCCCATTTCTGAGTCATGAGCCCTCTGATAGTAGAAGTGTTCAGAGAAGCTGGATGGGCAGTGTAGAAAGGCTTTCCACATGGGAGGAAGACCTCTAAGGAGTGTCTGAATCTATGAGCAGTTTGCACCAAGGCCAGTACAAAGACTTGAGTAATCATGGGAGATCGGGGGAAGATAGGCTGACGGACTAGAGAGATGGCATGAGAGAACCAGTGCTCATTTTTAAATATGTGCATGAAGGCCAATCCTATGGCTGCCTTTGTGTCACTGCCTCACATTTGACTCACATCCCCCTAAGAGGTAAGACATGGAAAGGAGAGGATGCAAGATGAAGTTCACGGTAACCATGTGAAGGGTTCCTGAGATAAGAAGAAAAGATGAATTCACAATAAAAGGAACACCCATATATCAACCATCCCTCCTAAAAATATACTATTATTTCAACTCTGGGTGGTGGGCACATGGTACAGTATACAGTTCTTGTAACATAGAAACCCACACCCGAAACTTATATTTTCATGTTAACCAATGTCACCCCAATAAATTTAATTTAAATATATATATATATATACTATTATTTCATCTTTGAAAAAAAGAAGGTATCTGCACAACTCCTGAGAGGCAAAGGGAGCTGGGGACCCATCATGTGAGTGGGTTCAAGAAGATTTCAAGCCAACTGTCTTTATTAGGGCTTTGTTTGTTTGATGGCCTGTCTTAGTCACCCACCAGGAATGGCAATCATGGTGTAGAAATATAAAATATCATCGAGAAGTTGGGAGAATCTTATTTTCAAGGACTTGGAAAGCTGTGTGGAGCTTCTGGATGGCCCGAGTTGCCAATGGCCATGACCGTAGCTGCTGGCATTGCTCCAGCATGAGCTCTGATTTCATGGCAAGGAAGAAGAAATCCTTAACAGACTCCAAAGTCAATTCAAAAAGCTATAGTGCTGCCTGGTCACAAAACAAATAATCCAGAAGCGATTCATTTGTTCAGCAAACATTTGTTGGGCATCTCCTTTATGCAGGGCCCCCTCACAGAGCGTGCAGTCATTCATTCTGAGGTGGGAGGGCAATTACCCCCAAGTTCCAAAGAATATGACAACCCACATGGGTAACAGAGCTAGGTGCATGCTTCTGAACCTTCCTCATGAGGTCAAACTCAACAGTCTTTCTTTCTTATCTCCGGACAAGAACCACAGCTGGAGGAGTGAGGAGGAGGAAGGGAGAGACAACAACAGTTTGTGCTTCTCCTTGTATAAATGATAATACTGATATCTGGATTGCTGCATGTCCAGCTACAACAGACATCCATGTGACAAGTAACCAGAACAACCGTCCCTGATACCTTATCTTGGAGCGCCAAGAATCGGAACCAAGAAAGCTGAATCCTCCTTCCAGCACGCAGGAGGAGTAAAGGAAGAGTGTAACTGTGTACAGTGCAAAGGTGGAGCCTCAGCAGAATCTCAGAGTCTAAGGGACCTCAGGGGGCATCTAACCTCCAGCCCATCCACTCCCCCTCCAGGCCCCCAACAATCATCAACATGGCTCCCACAGATTCCATTAGATAGAGTGTTCCAGGTTTCCCCTTCTCTGGTCTCTCCCAGGGCTCAGCAAGGTCATAGATGGCATGTCCTCCACTTCCACAGCACAAGTCAGCTGGGAGCAGTGGCTTTAAAACGTTGAAACCACAGCTCACAGTAAAAAATACATTTTACAACACAATCCACTACCCAAGGGCTTACATCTCTAACCGGAACAACTTACCCTTAAGTGCAATGTGTTCTCAAATTTTCTATTCCCTCTCTTCTTCTAATTTTTTAAAATGCTGGTTGTGACTCACCATTTGATTTCACAACCCATAAATGTATTTCAATGCTCACCTAGACTAGAGGTACAGGCTCTGGCAGTGGAGTTCTGAAGCGGCCAGATAATTCAAGAGGGCAAGTCATGAAGAAGCAACAGGGATGGTTAATGTATCTGCCCCAGAAGAAAGGTCTTGAAACCCTTCAGCCCAGAGAAAAAGGAAGTAAAGAAATATCTTACCAGTTCTTCATATATGCTAAGATGTTTGCTTTGTTTGTTTAAGGTAGAAGACAGTGAGCATTTATTCTTTTTTTTTTTTTTTTAGCATTTATTCTTCATGCTTTCAATGTGAAGCCTTGTTGACTAAGATTGCAGTGGAAATTATTTCAGTTCAACATGAGATTTGTAGGTGACTATTTGCAGGACAAAAGAAAAGCAAGAAATTTTACACATTAAAATGGTTTATGTGACATTTCCTTCTGTTAAAGGCAAAGAAGAGGAAAGGCAGTTGTCTTTAAAAACTGGCTAAATTCTTTTGGATCTGGGATGGTTTTAATGCTTTTTCCAGAAGACAGGGATAGCTTGAGGAAGTCCCGTCTAACCCTAGAGGTCATGACCTCTTCAGATCACCCCAACAAAACCTGCCTATGGATTTTCATGCTGGCTCAGTGCTGGCTGAGGAAGCTTGGGCTAAATCCATGGGTTCCCCAAGTAGAAAGGCCTCCCCATTTCCAGATCCTGAAAAGAGGCTCGAGAGAGAGAGAGAGAGAGAGAGAGAGAGAGAGAGAGAGAGAGAGAGAGAGAGAGAACTCATGGGCAGGCAAGGGGATGAGGGCTGCTCACTCCATGCCAAGTGCTCTAGAAT